CCCCTATTTAGGTTCGTCCTCTAAACTACGAGGGTTCCCTCTGTCTTTTCGGTAGTGAGAAAGTCCGCTTAGTGTATCTACATAATAAATTAGCTGGTCAGTCATTTTATGGATTTCTACTGTATTGTATATGTACTTCATGCACTGTGGTATATTCTACTGGGTAGAGTGAGAATATGGTCATCCCAGGCAGCCTGATTTGATTTAAAATAAATAAAATACTGGTATTGAATATTCATGTTTTTTTTTTTTTATATAGTTCTCTCTATACAAAAAAAGCAATAGAACCCAAATTTAAATTTTTCCTTCTCAATTTACACTTACAAATTTCAGCTTGTATATAAAGCTGTAAGCCACACAATAATTTAACTTGTTTTATAATCGGCATTGTACTCCAAAAGAAGTCTTACAGCCATATCTTTTTCACACAGATCACGATGAATTCGATGTACCAGAGACATCGGATAATAGTAGAAGACAGATGCTCAAGACAAAAAGCAAGAGGCATTTCTCCTTCCGAATATCAGATGAGGAGCGGCAACAGCAGAGGAGGTAGGAGCTTTAAACGTGAAACCGGTGATTTTTGTTGCAAGATTTTCTTTTGAAATTGTGCCTTTCACATATTTCTAATGTAACTATTTGAAAAACCGTATTGTCTTTCTTTCCAATGTCCTATGCAGGGTGATGATGAAAGACCCACAGTTGAGGTCAAAGTTAATATCAAACCCTAAAAATTTTAACCATTTAGTTCACGTGGGGCCTGGAGATGGAAAACATCAGCTAAAAGACCTCCCAGTGGTAAGTATGTAATTAGAGATTATTAGGAGTCTGTCTGGTTTTGCGCAGAGGACCACACTCACGTGAGCTTTCAAAAATATCTTGGCATAGACAAAAGGGTGTAATTGGCTTGTCATTTTCTCTTGCAGAATCGCATGAAATTTACATTCCAACTCCTCACAGCAGAGAGAAAGATGCCAATTTCTAAAAAAAAACAAAACACATGTCCCACAGTGCTATATAACTGGCTCAAGTCACATACCAGAACTTGATGATATTACAAGTTGAGATGGCTCAGCCAGCTTATAGAACTGTAGCAAGCCGTTCCAAGCTTGCTCGCCTATTAAGGAAGATACAATTACACATAACTAAAAAAATAAACTTGATTTAGGTTTGTGCAGTGGTTCAGCATTTAACAGGTTTGTTAAAGAGGCGCTAAAGCATTAGGGATACAAACCTATATTCCCAACATTTCAGTGTACCCCCCAATTTGCAATATAAAATAAATTATATACCTCTCTGCCCTATGCAACATCATGGAGGAGGGCACGATCTACATTGCAGGGTTACAAGGACAGGACCACTGTGCCCAGATCACTTTGAGTAACTTTAGTGGTTCATTAATGTAGTGGTAGCAGAGGGCTCTGTGAGTAAGATTCTGCAAAAGGATAATAGCACAAGAGCATGTAGAATGGTTGGTTAAACCACGTCATCTGTCTTCTAGGGAATCGCCTGCATTGCTCTCCTCTAATACTTTTCTGCATTAAATTTTACGTTTGTTACAGTGGTTTTCTATCCCTACGTTTCTGCTTTCTATTTCAAGCATATTAAAGGGACACTATAGTCACCCAAACAACTTTAGCTTAAGGAAGCAGTTTTGGTGTATAGATCATGCCTCTGAAGTTTCACTGCTCAATTCATTGCCGTTTAGCAGTTAAATCACTTTTGTTTCTGGCTGTGACTGACACAGCCTGCATGACTGCAAAATGTTTTTTGTCTCCTGCTCTACAATTTGTACTTTAACTACATACAATAGGCTCCCGTGGGGTCTACCAAGCAATTAACAGAGCAGGAGATAAGAAATTTTAAATTAAATCGAATTTGCAGTAAAAGTAGTATAAAAATTAGATGACTCTTTACAGGAAGTTTTTAGGAAGGCTGTGTAAGTCACATGCAGGGAGGTATGTCTAAGACTGCATAACCATAGTTATTTAACTCTTAAATGGCAGAGAATTGGGCAATGCAACTCCAGTGGCATGATCTATACACTAGAACTGCTTCATTAAGCTAAAATTGTATTGGTGACTATAGTGTTTCTGTAACTGAAAAAAGCAAGCAGAGTTCAGTTACATGATATTGTTGCTTTTGGCTTGCCTTATTTGTCTAATCCAGCACTAACACTAATATTGTATTATTTCCTTGTCAGGCTCAGGAAGAGAAGAGAAGAAGCAGTGGGCAAGACATAACTGCATCAGGAAGACCCCTGTCATCCAGCAGTGACCAGGGTAATAAAGCTCAATAAGACCACGAGATATATGTTGGTAATGGCTCCTCTAGACTATGATTCCAGCGATGCTTAGCAGGCTGAGCACAATGAAAATCAGTCTACACTAGGTTTACTACTCCTGTCTTTGGGTTTATTTATTTAGCTGAATATCAGACAGGATAATGCATGTCTTGGGAAAAAATAAATGAAAAAAAATATATATATTTTTCCAATTTACACTGGTCAGCCACAACACTAAAACCACTGGTAGGTGAAGTAAAGAACATTGATTATATAATTACAATGGCAGCTGTCTTGGGGTGGGATATGGCAAGTGAACAATTAGTTCTTGAATTTCATATGTTAGAAGCAGGAAAAATGGGCAACCGAAAAAGATCTAAGTGACTTTGACAAAGGCCAAATAGCTAGACGACTGGGTCAGAGCATCTCCAAAATGGCAAGTCTTGTGGTGGTTTCCCAGTATGCAGTGATTAGTATCTACCAAAAGTGGTAAAAGAAAGGACAGCCAGTGAGCCAGCATCAGGGTCTTGGGCGCTCAAGTCTAATTGATGCACTTGAAGGCTAGCCCACCTGGTCCGATCACAAAGAAGAGCTACTGTAGCACAGATTGATGAAGACAATTAAAGGGACACTCCATATCCCTAAAAACTGTAGCTTGTTGAACAATTTTGTGTAAAGAATGTCATTTATTTATTTTCATTTTGGAGAAAATGCAGATTTTTAATAAAAAATTTACACTTTTATAAATTATACTGGCTCTTCAAGCAATGGGATCTGTTACTTCCTGGCTTGGAGAGCTCAATTGCACTGAAATCAAGAGGCAGGCAATTTCCCAGAACACCTGCCTTGCAGAGACTTCTCATTGAGCTGTGATGGGACAACCACAAAGTCTGGGTGGGGTTAGAAAAGGAGGGCTTGCAAAGGTAGCAGACGAGATCTGCAGTTTTTGCAAGCTGTTTTTAGATATATCTGAAATGAAAAATGTATAATTAAATGCATGCAAGTTTTCATTTCCGGTATGTATATTAAACAGTGATATTTTATTTTGTATTTGGGCAGTAGCGCCCCTAGAAAGGTTTCAGAACACACAGTGCATCGCAGTTTGCTATATATAAGGTTGCATAGCTGCATAACGGTCACGATGACTACTGTCAACCAACAAAAACACCTTCAATGTGGACATCAGAGTCTGAACTGGACCATGGAGCAATGAAAGTTAGTTTCATGGTGTGATAAATCACTTTTTCTTTCAGCTCAGGTGGATGGCTGGCATGCACTATGAGAGGAAGGCAGGCTGGCGGAGGCAGTGTTATGCTGGGAAACCTTGGGTTCTGGCACTCATGCGGATATTACTTTGACACGTACCACCTACCTACAGATTGTTGCAGGCCACATACACTATGGCTATGGTGTTCCTTGATGGCAGTGGCCTCTTTCAGCAAGATAATGCACCCTGCCACATGGCAAACATTGTTCAGGAATGGTTTGAGGAACATGACAAATGGGTTGCCTTGACCTCCAAATTCCTTAGATCTCAATCAGATTTAGCATTTAATAGATTTAAAGATTAGCTTCCAGGAAACCCAAAATACTCTGATTCTGGGGGGGTTTTCTTTTTCACAGACTGCTTGGTAGTGAAGTGGTTAAATGAATGTTCAAGGTCACATATTGCACAGCTAAACGTTAAAGGTTTAAAAAAAAAAGCTTCTAGCTGCTAATGTGCGTTGATTTTGTATGTTTTTAGTGGATCATTATGAAAATATATGTAGTATGTACAGTTATGCTGTTTTGATTACCATTTCGGTGATGGCATGAAAGACATCCCACTGTGCAACATAAATTAATCACATACCCTTTGACTAGGAATTACATATTTTTCTATTAGACAATTTAATAAATAACTCTAGGACCAAGCTTTGACAGATTTCTGCCAATTCCTGGCCCGCTTACAAGTTGCAAATCCTGTTGGAGAAACTGGTGTCCCATTAAGAGTGGAATATCTGTGAAGACGCATATTGAACGGACATTTAGCTATCCAAATAAAAAAAATATATATAATCATGGTTTATTATTAATCATTAATGCATGTTTTCATTGTATGTAGATCTATTAAATTTAAAACCATTTTGTGAAAGTTGTAGATTTCTTTGATTCTGCCTTTTGCAAACCCTCCCATTCTAAACCTGCCCAGATTTTCTTTGGCTGTCCAATCACAGACTTCTCAATGCTGCTTTGAGTTTAGACCCACCGAGCTAAACCACACACGTAACAGGATCAGTGGTCTTTCACCCAGGATGTGTGAAATGTTCATTTACAAAAGTGCTAATTTTTTATTAAAATCTGCTCTATTTGTAAAATGGGGAAAAAAGGGATACGCTCTTCACAAAAAGTTCTTCAGCAAGCTAAAGTGCTTTAGGTCTGTAATGTCACTTTAAATAACTAATTTTTCCAATTTGTTTTTGCAGTAAAGCGTAGTTCCTGCAGTTCTCAGTCAGAGGACTCTCCATCATCCCCACATACACTGATGTCCTCATCGGATATGCTGAGTGAGGTAAGAATGCACATTTTTGTCTTCTTTAATAATTTAATGAGAATGCACATTGTGCCCTCAAGCTATGTATTGATAAATACAGGATAAACAATTGTTTGTCAAAACAAATCTTGCTTACTAGTCTGAAACTACACATCTATTAATCTCTTTGCCTTTGTTTTTCTTTTTAGATCTCTGATCACACTAGTCTTCTCAACCTCTCCAGTACCTCATCATAAAGATGCAGAGGCTGAAGACTATATCCTAATGTCAGTTATTTAAAATGGGCCAAGGGCTGACACCGTTCTAAATACTGCCAGGACTTAACATGAAAAACCCGATCCATCCCCACACAATGTTATGTCTTTTAATATTCTGCATAATCTGGACATATCACTGGGAACCTATAGAAAACAAAGATGTGTCAAGGTTCTTGCTAAAATACAAATCATTAACATGGTTTCATAATAATTCTTCCCATCAAATGGCTACGTAGTTAAACTGTGATTTAAAGAGCTTTCTCCTTGACCAATCCAGCATAATCCTTTCCCATTTTTACCAAAAGGAGCCTACTGACCTTTGGGCATTACCCATAATTCCAAATCCAAAATTTCTGTTTACAATGGAAATGTTTTAAAATGTATTTTTGTAACAAATTACCAGTTTCTTAAAAGGGAAACAGGCGAGAGGCAACCAAAGACACTACTTTTATTTCTCTCTCCTGTTTAATTGTAACAATTGCACAGGCCATTAGCTTTTTATACTGCAGTCAGATATACATTGCAGTGGAGGTCCTTCTTAGACCCGACATATTGTACTCTACTATTGTAAACAATTAATTTCAGATGTCTTTATTGTAGTATGTACAAGACAAAAACCAAGGGAGAAATGCAATATATAGATGCATGTTTCAATATTTTAACTGTTGTAAGAAATGACTGCATCCTGAGGGTGTAAGCAATTTAAAAAGGAGTATTTTACTGGAACATGATAAAGAATTAATAGAATCAACACAGATTGTGGTTTGGAAAATGATATTTTATTCTTGCGCTGTTAATATACAGCATGGTATGGAAGATAAAACTTTATACAGCATAAATATTATGAAATCTGAATCTGGCCTTGTTCTCTCTTCTTTATGGAAAATGTTACAGCTTATTGGGATGGTGATGCTACCTGCAAATAGAAAGAAGGAAGCAGTGATTTAGCCCTACTAAATGTTATTTCTTCAAGGCAATAAAAGCCCCCCCAAAATAAACCTTTGTTTTAAGGGAAAGAATAAGCTGCAACTGAACCCCATTTTTAAGGCATATGTAGATAATACATTAATAAGAAGGGTACCACTCGCCATAGAAGCCTCTGCAGAAGCAGCAAAAAATCTCACAAAATCAGGCTGTGGTTCAACCAATTCTGACACTTATTTTAGTCTTAAGTCAGCATGTCTCATGTGCTTTCTGGGGCATATAGTCGAGAAAGTTGCAATTTTATTTACAGACCCCCCTGACCTAGATGCTAAGTTAGTAGTCAAAATGTATTCATTTTTAATGAGCTGCTAAATCCCGATTTGTGGTGAAGAAAAGGCCGAACTGCAACAGTGGGAGTATAGTTAAGTTAGAGAATTTGCTTTTTATAGGAGGTACATATTGTGGGACTGTTCCTACCACCTCATTTAATCCAGTGGTTCCCAAAGCAATCCTCCTAGCCCACCAACAATCCAGTATTTATGTATTTCCTTTTTATTTTCCAATGGAGATCCTGGAGTGTTACTGGGTCGTGAGGACTGGTTTGGGAACCACTTATTTAATTTATACATTGTACTAGTCAAAGATTTCTCAGTACAGGTAGATTAAAGTTGATTGTGGCAAGAATAAAATACACAGTCTGCTATCAACTGAATATGCATTTTAAAATACCTGATCTAGTATTTCAAAGCAGAAGATATCCCCCTCCCCAATTTTGCAAGCATATCGTGTAATTTAAAAATTAGCCCTTTTTTTTGTACAAAGATTATATATAAAATGTCTAACACCAAGAACTGATTTTCAGCTGGGGAAGAACTAACAGTGGAGTGACTGAGCAAGCAGTTTTTCTGCTGTCACAGGGCTTGCTAGCCACCACTAATACAAGCAATGTGCGTGGAGTGATCTCTCCACCCATGAAGGTGGAGTAGGAAGGAGAGGCAGAATTGTGGTCGGTATGTACGAATAATCATGTTGGTGAAAAGAGAGTTGTTCGAGGGTGATAAAGTATGTGGGAATGGGTGCACTGCCTTGACTGGCCTCTAACGGAAACAATATTTAAATTTATATTGTATATTTAGAGGAGAAACAATCTGGCAAATTAAAAACCTAATACAGTCCACATTCTTGCAGGCTGTACAGGTCTCTTCTTCAAATGTCCTGTTGAATACTAGTCCTTAGACAAGTACAAGTGTTAAAAAAAAACAAAACACACACTTTAAACCAGAGCTTCTGGTCTTTTCAAGTACTAAGCTGCTGCATGGGCAATGCAGGTTATACTAAATAAGTAAATACCGACCAGAGACTACATTAAAAGGATTGCTCTGGCCACAATAACCTAATAAAGTTATGGTGCCTGGAGGACAGCGCCCATTTGCTCTGCTACTCTTCTTCCGGCTATCACTAGTTTCCCCTTGATAAAACTGTACCCTTTTCACAAGAGAAAACTAGTGATACGCAGAGTGCCAGCCCCCAGCCTGTGATCTTGGCGGGAAGAAGTGGGGCAGAGCCGACAGGTGACCTACACTACTCTGGGGCTGTCAAATCCGTTAAGGTAAGATGGTAACCAGGACCTCCAGCCACCACTGCAAGTTTACTAACCTATAATTTAGGAAGGCTCAAACCAGCTTACAGTATATCCAGACAGGTACAGTAAAATGTGTGGTATGTTATTAGTATCTTTTCCTGACAGCCTTTGATATAATTAAACTACTAAACTATCCCCTGGTATGTGGATGACTGTAAAAGAGTATAAACCCAACACATGCAAAAAACTGTGGATATTGCCTGAGAGGGACAAATTGAATACGATGCAACTGTTACATGTTAAATTCATAAAACAAAGACCTCCACATACCATCCTTCTGCTCCTTTCAGTCCAACTTCCTCACTCCCAGTTTTAAGGGCCCCTTTGCTGCCCTCCGTTCTGCCCTCTTAGCTTCCATTTCTCGTTGACGTTCTTCTCTTTTTTTACGTGCAATTTCAGCTTTACTTAAACCTGTACAAGCAAACGGCTAGTTAAAATCCAAATTATGAAAGTGACCAAATTATTAAAGAATGAAGGGAATTGATTAACACCTGGATCTGCCACTTTAATATATTGTATAGTTACAGTTCACTATATGCTCCCTTCACATTCAAGAACTTTGCAAAATACACAGTTTACGTGTCTTTTTTTTCTTCCCCTCACTCCTTAACACCATAAAGAGAACAAAGAAAAAACACAAACACTGCACAAACAATGCTCAGTAATTCCAGTCAACGTTAGTGATAAGATGTACTTATGTGCAATTCACCCAGGACTGACATTTAAATTACTGGGAAAACTAAAATGTATGGACACTGCAAGTACTGACAAATTACACACACTCCCTAGAGGAGTGGATGAGAGATTTGTGGTTTTCTAGAGCTTACGGTAAAACAAGACCTCGAAAACCACGTGTGATAGTTATAGGTACAGATTTATTTTAATTAAATTATTTGAAACAAACAATGAGTGGTGCTTCAGCCTAAGGGAAACATAGCAACTAAGCTCATAACAAGAACGTCTAACTCCATTCTCAAGGTAAACATCTATTATGGTTATAAGAAAAATATAGATTATAAAAAGATTTTTGGTTAAGCATTTCAAATGATCACAATGTGTTAAAATCGGGAGGAATTATTATAGATAATTCACAGGAAAATGATTTCTAACAGTGACCTCTGCCAATAATTACTTAAGCTTATCCAAAAATATTAAAGTCCATGTAGAGAGGCCCGCTCCTGTTAAAACAGAAGAAATGAGACAATGGTGGTATTATCTTACCCTGATCAGCTTCTACAGACTCCCAATTGTCATCACCACCCCAGTCCCCAACTGCATCAGAATCTTTCTGTTGAGAGAGGGAAAGTAAACATACATTTAGTATACCAAAAAAAGGACAAATGGAATTAGTCCATTTTATATGTTTTTAATTGCTGTGCAGCAGAAGCAGGTATGTATACTGTATAGAATTTTGTAAATCAATACTTTTATTTGTAAAATAGATTGATAAATAGCCCACAATGTTCTTGAAATTAAAGTGTTATGAAAATTGCACCAATTTTCTCGAATTAATAAAATAATTTACTACAAAGATAAACACTTTTTTTTTTTAGATTAGACTTTTCCATTGCAGAAGATCGCCAAATATGCAGCAGTGGGAAAAATGTATTGTATACGACACACATTTTATTTATTTAAATAAAAAAATTAGTATAAGTTTAAATCACTGTACATGGCATTTATTTAGCGCCTGTATAGTCTGCAGCACTTTACAATGATAGAAAGGGGTTATGAATAAGGCCCTGCTCAAAAGAGCTTAACATCTCATAGATTGTATGTTCAATATAGCAGATCGTGCATGAGCAACAATGAAATGTCATTGCATTCAGAAGTACACTGCTTTCTTAATTCTGTGGACCAGGCACACAAACCTTGTGTGATACTGATGAAAGATACAGTTTTCAACATGAACCAGGAGTTTCAGTGAGTTCAGCACTGTATCTCATGCTCTAAGGATGTAAATTACAACGGAGAATACAATACTGTATCCTGAACTGTAAGGATGTGTCAATCATCAGCAATATATGGTAATGTGTTCTAGGCAACGTCAGTACCGTGATAATATAATGTGAGTAGGTATATCAACTCATCCTTGTATCATCTATAAATGTTGAGATAAGCTACTAAGCAGCATGGTGTAGTAGTTTTGTTGCCTGTAGTTTATGGATACTATTTTCCAGTTATGTTAGACTGTTTGGAAACGGGTTGATAAACAGGGCTCTGCACTTCACCTGGGGGGACCATCCCCTCCTTGGCTGTGTTGATAATGCAGAATGTATGCTTCTAAGTTCTCAATGTCAATTTCATCCAAACTGGACAAACAGTTATGTCAGAGACTTTAGGCAACGTAATCACTACACCGAGCTGTTGTGTCTATACTGCCCCTTTAAGAAAATCACAATATTATAATTGTAAAGAAAAGAACAATACTTTAAATATAAATGTGTAGATAACCACCTGGCTTACCTGTTCTGTTGCTGCAAAGAACTCCACATGTTTACCTCCACCTCCAGCACTGTCCCAGTTATATTCACTGGCAGGTCTTGTGCCTTCAGGGAGTAGAGCTTTAGATTTTGTTGAAGGCACGGTCTGAAAAGCATCATCCCACCCCCAACCATCCTCAGGTGCTGACGGCCTATAATCAGGTTGTTTCTGATGTGTGAACTGTTCGGATTTGCTTCTGGAGGACGGAAGTGTGGACTGAAGGGGCAAGAAAATTTAAAAATGAGTAAATAAAAGTAATTTGGAAGTTTATGTAGTCTACAAGATAAAAGAGTTCTAGCAAACAAATAAGTGAAGGATGAAGCATTGGACCAGACAATGACGATGGAAGGTGAATATGCAAGAGAATAAAATGGGTAAAATTCTCGGAATGATCAACCGGTTTGAAAATATTTTAAAAAGAAGGAATTATTAAAAAAGGACGCAGAAGAAAAACCTCATCAAAATAACTCTCTACTTTCTTTTTCTTTCTGTGATATATAATTGACATATGTACTATCATATGGCTTTTGCATAAGCTGAAAAATGTTACTTTACCATATGATCTGCCATCGCAAAAATAAAGATTTTAAAAATAAATAAATAATAATTTAAAAAAGGACGCAGAAACAGAATAGTTACATATTTAGAAAAAGACACTCACTGGTTTTTCCTGCGTCTTTTTATTAGAGGTACTGCCCCATCCTGTGTCCCAGTCATCAGCTTCGGGCTGCCCCTTGTTCTGTGCAGAATCCTAGATAAAAGCAATTATTTATTCCATTTCAAAAAAGAAGGTTTGGAAATGTTTTATGTTTTCACTAGTTAAATCCAAGTCCACTCCAGAGGTACTTCCGTAATCAGAGACTGACCTGTACTTGTGGAGAAGACATCATATGAAACACCGTGAGGATCTTACCTCTAGGCTACCCCAGTCTTCATCATCCCATCGATCTAAAGGACTGTCCTCTAGCTCATCCTTTTCTTCCTCTTCTTCTTCATTATCTTCATCATCATATGTTTTGGTTGAGGGAGAAGGAATGACTGGTGAAGGGGCAGATTCTAAAACAATAATTATTTATGGCTAATTAGAATGGATAATTATTAAGTCTGGTATTGCAGATTTTCCCCTCAATAATCCTCTATGATCGTGAGATGTTGGTCATTTTTAAAACATACAATAGCCTCAGGTACAACATTAAAAAGGCCAAAAACTTTTCCAGCTCACAATTAAACAAGTGAGCAATGTTAAAAGGATACTATAAGCACCAAAACAACTTCCGCTTAATGTAGCAATTTGAATAAAGATATCGTTCCCCTGTAGTTTCACTGCTCAATGTTCTGCCATTTAATAAATTGATAGATAAGTGAATATCAGCTGGAGCCTGCATGGGCACATTTGCCAAATGTACATTACAAGAAGGATTAGGAGCAGGTCTATTTATCTCTGCCACAACCAACTCACCTGGTTTGCTTACTGTGGAAGGTACAGGAGTTGATGCCGGTGCGGTTGCTGCTGGTGGTGGCGGTTCCTGACCTCCTGTTGGACTTGTGCGGATGAATTTGGATGTCAAGGATGAGACACCTGTGACTGCCCAGCCAGCCCATCCGCCTACAATACCAGGATTAACTGAAGCAGCATGTACATCTTTCTCTACGGGAGAAATGCCAAATTACCAATCAAAACCTGCATTAGTTATGAATAGTAGAGTTAAACTAGGCAATCAAATTCTGCGTCAGTGCAATCTCTTGTTTATGAAGACCACCTAGTATTTTCTTAAAACAAATGCGGTTTGATAAAGAAACAAACAGTCTTACAGATCCACCTTTAATGCCGTTGGACTCCACAAACGATGTAGAATTAGAATAAGTACATGAACAGAATTATCAGGAGGAATATATATATATATATATATCTATCTATATATCAACACACCTTTGCGCTACCAGACAGGACACTAACAGCTTCTCACATCAAAAAACAATGTATATCTTACTATGGAATTCAGTCTGTCCACCCTTTAATGAAAGGTAATCGCCACCCACTACATATGTGAGCACAGCCCATTTCATAATAGTGTGAATCTCAAAATCTCCAAATTAACAATGCAGTTTTTTTTTCCTTTTTAATATCTAACTAAATCTCATCTTATAAAATATAAATTTAATAAACCAGGAAAGATACCCAATTTTTACTCAGTGTGAACTAGGTATATTTAAAGGAAGTAATTTTTAAATAAAAGCTTGCAGAAGAACTTTAGGGGATTAACAAAGTGTTCTGTCTTTCAAGAGAAGTCTGCACATCTATAAAGCTACTAATTCTGTACCCTCCCGGATGGCGTTCACTCAAAATCAGCACAGCTATTTCCATCCTTAAACCCCGATTCCAATTATATGGCCTGGGAGGTCATCATTGGTGAGGATCTCCTGAGGGCACCAAGGATCTGTGACTCTCTCTCTCTGCTAGATTAGAGCCAAGTAACCTTAATTTACAGCAACTAGTAACTAAGTAGACCTTACAATGCTCTGTTATAAATAAATGTAGTTTTGAGTGTTCCTTTATCTAGATAATGAGCTGACATAATGGAAAGAGAGGTGTAAGCAAGTGGCGTGCCTGGCATATCCAGATGCATGGTCAAGCTATGATCTACCGTGTAGCTGCTTTTAGCTTAATTTCAATAATCATTCTCAGTCAAAAAGCTAAACATTTTACAGGATAATGTTATGCTTGTATAATGCCTTCTACATATTACAATGATCAGTATTTCACTCACCAAGTTCTGCTAACTGCGTTGGATCCTCTGACACAGACTCTAGCTTATCCAGAAAGGTTCTGATTGCTTTAAAGGCCTAAAAGTCAATAGAATGGAAAATTCAAATAAGAATATTATGACCCATAATAGACTAAATTTGCTCTCTTTACTCCTTCCTATGTCTCCCTCGCAGACTGTAACATATCTTTTATTACTCCCTTGTGAGCAAATCAGACGGGGTAGAACACCATCTCTCAAAGAGAAGTATCAAAAATATTACTAATTTTATTTGATCGTAATCCCAAAACATGTACAAATTTAGTAATTCAGAGGGGGGCCTTACACCCTATTCCTAAATGTATCCATTTATCCTGTTATCCATATTCCTCAACCAATCTCATCACTGAGGCAAAAATGAAGCCTTGTACCCTATTCCCCAATTCCTATGGTCTTCTGGGTAAAATGGAGTCTTATTATTGGCATTTATAATGCACCAACATATTCTGCAAAGTTTTAGAATTTTAAACCTCGGTCCCCTATTAAACTGGGCTCAGTTGAGCTCAGTCTCCATTTCTCTAAAATAAATAAAATGGTAGGTGACAACGGCAGGACAAGGAAAATCTGCGCTTTCTACACAGAAAAAGATTAATCATAATTTATTTGTAATGTCTCACCTGGTCTCTAACACTCTTCTCTGGATCCACAGTGACCCCGCATAGTACAGGTAGGATCTTTGCAGCACAGTCTGTCATAGAATAAAAGTTATGTGTAGCAGCAAAACCAAGAACGCCCGCTGCACGGGAAGGTGCAAATGGATCCTTCGTAGCTCTGCAGAACGCGGATATCAAAACCCTCTGCCGCGTCTGTGGAAAAGTTAATGCAGACCGATTGTATGAATGACTTTTAAAAAAAAAACAAAAAAATGACTTACATATCCTGAATGTAAATTATTAAACGAGAAACTATGACATAAAAGTAACCCTTTAAAAAAAATAACAGTAAAAAAAAATAAAAAAGCTACCTGTACAACACAATCAATTCATTGGCAGGATAAGACAATATTATTTATATGAATATGCAGCTGTAACATCTGCTAAAAGTCAAATCAAATTCTTAGAAATATGGAAACCAGGTCTTACTGCATGAAGACACTGGAACATTAGGGACTTGTTATACAACTGAATACAGCAGACATAGGTCCACAGTGAACAGTGATAAGATCAGAGCTGTACAAAGCATTGTGTGGGGGTACTAGTATTATTAATGGTATCAATAGTATTATAGAAATTATTATTACTATTACAATGGTTATATTTTTTGTTTACAATATGCATCAATTTTTTTTCTATTCTTTTAGGTTTCTGAGGTTTTTATTGTTTTTCATGTGCGGCTTTTATGTGTTTCCTTTGTCTTTTTTTTTTCACTCTAAATTATAAAGTATAAAAAATAATAAAAAAAAAAACAAAAACAAAGAAAGAACAAAAAAGCAACTCCTTTTTAAAGTTTCCTTTAAACACACAAGGAAGAAACTCTTATCCCACAATTAATAAAACGAGTTGATTATTCCCAAGAGCAGTTCCACTCTTCCTAAGCGACAATAGCCTTACTGCAGCTGCAATCAGTTTACATATAGCATGTTTAGTGAACTGGACTATTTCATGTGCTTAGCAGAGTTATAGTCTCCCAGCTTGGCTCTCTTGGGAGTTGAATGCATGGTATGCAGTGGCTGCCTGCAAAACGTAAACAAAATAATACATGTTCTTGTTCTGTGCTGCCTTACTGACAGCTATGAGAGGCAGCAATCTCTGCAGTTCTAAGCCATGTTCAGAATGGAGAGTAGTTGCAAGGGGCTCTACACACCATCATCTTTGCAGTTATGCCCATTATGACCGTCTAAAACCCGTTTGTCAATTATATATTCTCTAGTAATCTGTTTCAATAGCGGATGTAAGAAACAAGTACACCTCTCAATTTCGGGACATTATGATGACCTGGCATGCAGCTGTGGTTAAGTCTTGCCTTAAGTTTATAAAAGTTCAGATTTCTACAAAAATTGGTTTTATAACTAAATTATGGAACACTCCCATGAATGTCAAACCCCTGAGCTAACAGAAGTGGCAGGCATGCTCTACTTGAGCGTACCTGCCTTCGCCCCCACAGATCTCAGGTCAGATGTGAGATCACCCTTACGCACAGATTCAGAGGACAGGCTAATTCCCCATGAAGAGACTGGTAGTCTATTCTCCAGGTAAAAAGGAGATGGCTTGCAAAGGCCGCAGCTCATAAGAACAGCAGCATTTACAATCTTTTTTTTCAGATACACGATTAAAATAAAAATAAAAAAAAATTTGTTTTAAAATAAAAAAAATAGCCTGGAGTGGTTATTTAAGCGTAGTCCTAATTCAGATCATAGATCTGGCATGGATGCAAACTTTGGCATATTTAATCAAGGTCATAACACCCCTCAAGTATACACCTTTTCAGATACAACAGGGCTATTTGTTTGCGGTAATGTTAATTTATGTACACGATTAAATATCCTGCAATATTTGGCTACTATTAAATGGAACCTATACAATATAAACGTATTACATACTCACCGTGGGATTGAGATAAGGTGCAATCTTGCCTAAACACACAGTTGTGTTACAACGAATAGGTCCCTGGTCGTCTCGTGCCTGTAGCCTAGCGAAATGCTTCATAAGCTCCACATTAAGATTATTTTCATTTAACTTAGGAGCCAAGAGCAACATGGACTGAAAAGAGATAGAGAGATTTGAAGCACAAATGCACATAAAGTTTAAATATGAATATTTACAGCAACTTTACAAATGTGTGAGATAATAACGCCATTAGCTACAAATATTTCACCCTCTTTTTGTTTTCATGCTGCAAAGAACTCACATAAAGACTATGATCTACTAAACTTCCCTAAGGTTACCTCTACCTTCTGTGTACTTTTCTCACCCACTGACCCTTGTCCACTACCCAGGAGACATTCCTAGGTTGGAGTATCCAGACGCTATCAGCAGGAGTAACCTATGTTCGCCCTAGAACTCTAGCTCGACCATGCTTAGCCCCTTGTCCTGGTCTCTTTTACCTCAATTTCCCCATCTTCCCAACTACCCAGGAAAGCGCTTTATAGAGAGAAGCATCTACCCCTTAAGCCTAACATTAACTCCCTGTAACCACCAGAAAGCTACCCTTCCACACCAGGATATGCCCCCGGTATTTTACTGAGGAATGGCTCCAACTGCATGGACTTTTCTTGGTCAAATTTGTTACAGCGGTCAGCTTAAACTTTGAAACGATGGCGTTCGGACAATACCCCATGGATGCAAGTGCTATTTTCACAGAATTGGCGCTCGGATTAGACCTTTCGGTGGAAATCAATCAATGTTCATTTTGGTGGCAAATTTCAATTTAGTTTTAGTTAATCTTTTGACTAAAACGCCATTTTAGTTACCTGAATTGTTGTAGTTTTAGTCAACTAAATCTCCAATACATTTTAGTCGAGACGACTAAAATCTAATGGGTTTAGTTAAACCCTCTGTCTCTTTTGCCCCTTCCACAGCCCCTTTGTGCAGTCATTTTGGTGGCAAATTTCAGTTTAGTTTTAGTCATAGTCTTGACTAAAATGCCATTTCACTTCTAGTTGTATTTTAATCATCTTAATTATTCTAGTTTTAGTCGACTAAAATCTGACTAAAATTGTTAGTCGACAAAACTAACACTGCGGGGGATGTATGATAGGTGGGGATACGTTAATGTTTAAGGTGTGTTTTAGGGGGATTTTTGTATTGGGCTCTCTGTATACCTGGGAGATAATTAGTTTACTGAAGGACCAATTCAATAATCTCCCAGACACAGGCACCTGGGTGGGCTTAGGATGCTCTGAATAGAGAGCCCATGTTGGGGGTCTGGTTATAAATGTGTGTGCTTTTTCCTAATAAAAACAAATTTCCCCCCCTCATCAAGTCTCGACTGACGTCTGGGTATATGGAAGCTATAATTCACTATTGCCTTGCGGGAATCTGGGAGAGACTATGGCGGAGGTATCAATCTGGGTACACATGCATACTGACCCTTCACAGAAACATCCATGCATTTTCAGAAACACATCCTCTGCACAAATACAGCTCTAAATATGAATACACAAACATTTTTTGCTGGCACTTGTCATGGCCAGTAACTTTAAAGCCTTGCTATACAGCTAGGACTTGAAAATCTGAGCCCTGGACTAGTGTGCTGTTAGTGAAAATCTGAGCCCTGGACTAGTGTGCTGCCTGGAACTACCAATCTTATAACACATTATAATTTTACAAAATGCACTGCTAATGTCTTTCTTCTGTCTGTCAGGTAGTGTAGTGGTGTGTGCAAGAAAGCGAGTTTTCATTTAGTACTTACCTTCACTGTCTGTTCCCGGATCGCAGGGTTGGTATCCATAAATCCATGGACTACATGTGGGAAAATTTGTGTGTTCACAGTAGGTTCATTCAGATACTGAATAAAATTCTCCATCTACCAAAAGAAAATAAAAAACAAAAAGTCAGGTCCAAACAAAATTGGGTCTGCAACGTATGTAGGAATTTAAAAACAAAACAATTAAAGAAAAAATGTTTAAAAAAAGCAATGACAAAAATAGAGAGAACTAGAGACATCAAATATATAACCTAGAAAGCACCATTTATGTTTAAAGGAACACTATAGTCACCTAAATTACTTTAGCTAAATAAAGCAGTTTTAGTGTATAGATCATTCCCTTGCAATTTCACTGCTCAATTCACTGTCATTTAGGAGTTAACCCCTTAAGGACAGAGCCAAATGTACACGTTGTGAACAAAACAAAATGTAAACAAAACCTGGCATTTGCGCTACATGTCTGTCCAACCATAATACACCTCTTTCATATTAAAAGCACCCACCCTTATTATATATCATTTTATTCAGGGGAAACAGGGCTTTCATTTTAATATCAAATATTTAGCTATGAAACATAATTTAATATGAAAAAAATGGGAGAAAATAAGATTTTATTTTATTTTTTTTAGTTCTACATGACATTTTAACGGTCAGTGTCATAATACTGTTTGCTTTTACTGCAATAAAATACACATATTTGTATTCAGTAAAGTCTCACGTGTAAGACAGTACCCCCTATGTACAGGTTTTATGGCGTTTTGGGAAGTTACAGGGACAAATATAGCACGTTACATTTGAAATTGAAATTCGCCAGATTGGTTACGTTGCCTTTGAGACTGTATAGTAGCCCGGGAATGAAATTTACACCCATAATGGCATACCATTTGCAATAGTAGACAACCCAAGGTATTGCAAATGGGGTATGTCCAGTCTTTTTTAGTAGCCATTTGGTCACAAACACTGGCCAAAGTTAGCGTTAGTATTTGTTTGTGTGTGAAAAATGCAAAAAATGCAATTTTGGCCAGTGTTTGTGACTAAGTGGCTACTAAAAAAGACTGGACATACCCTGTTTGCAATACCTTGGGTTGTCTACTATTGCAAATGGTATGCCATCATAGGGGTAATTTTCATTCTTGGGCTACCATAGGGTCTCAAAGGCAACGTAACCAATCTGGCGAATTTTAATGTGAAAAAAATGAAACACAAGCCTTATATTTGACGCTGTAACTTTTGAAAACACCATAAAACCTGTACATGAGGGGTACTGTTGTACTCGGGAGACTTCGCTGAACACAAATATTTGTGTTTCAAAACAGTAAAAGTATCACAGCAATAATATTGTCCGTGTAATGCTGTTTGTGCGTGAAAAATGCAAAAAACGTCACTTTTACTGGCGATATCATCGTTGTAATACATTTTACTGTTTTGAAACACTAATATTTGTGTTCAGCGAAGTCTCCCGAGTAAAACAGTACCCCCAATTTACAGGTTTTATGGTGTCTTGGAAGTTATAGGGTTAAATATAGTGCTAGCAAATTAAATTCCCTATACTTTCGGCATGGGTTGTCAGGCAGGTCCCGCTAATTGTAATTAATTAAGATACCTAATTATGTAAAAATATTACATAAATATATATGTAGAATTATATATATGTATATATATATATATACACACGTATGTGTATATATATATATATATATATATATATATATATGTATATATCTATATAATTTTTAAAAAATATTTTTATTTATATATAGGTATATATATATATATTGATATATACGTATATATTTATGTATATAGATATATATATTATTTTGTTCTATGTGTATTTTGAGATATATATATATATATATATATATATATATATATATATATAAATTTCACAATACAGTTAGAACGAAATAACACACACCTATATATTTTTTAATTATTTATTTAAAAAAATAAAATTAAAAAAAATAATTAACGTATTTACATTCTAATTTTTTTTATATTATATATAAATATATATATAACAATAATTATATATATATTTAATCAGTATCAGTCTACGTGTAATTTGATATTAATATATATATATATATATATATATATATATATTAATAGTAAAATACACCTAGACGGTGTACATGTGTGTATGTATATGTGTAGTATATATTATTATTTTTTTTACACCATTTATTTGTTTTAATTTTATTTTCAGCCAGCAGGGGGACCACCTGTCATTACAGGCAGCCACCCTGCTGGCAATACAGAAGCCAGCTATCCCCGGCCATGTGATTGTGGGGTCCTCGCAAGGACCCCACTCTCACATGGCCGGGGGGCTTCGTGGAGGACGGAAGTGCTGCGGGGGCTCCCTAGGAGTCCCCCCCACCGCGATCGCTGGCGTGGGACCGCCGGCGACCGAGTAAGTACCGAAAGACCGGAGGGCGTACTATTACGCCCACCGGCGTTTAGAGCCGCCTATTATAGGGCGTAATAGTACGCCCTCCGGTCTGAAGGGGTTAAATCACTTTGTTTCTGTTTATGCAGCCCTAGCCACACCTCCCCTGGCTATGATTGACAGAGCCTGCATGAAAAAAAAACTGGTTTCACTTTCAAACAGATGTAATTTACCTTAAATAACTGTATCTCAATCTCTAAATTGAACTTTAATCACATACAGGAGGCTCTTGCAGGGTCTAGCAAGCTATTAACATAGCAGGGGATAAGAAAATCTTAATTAAACAGAACTTGCAATAAAGAAAGCCTAAATAGGGCTCTCTTTACAGGAAGTGTTTATGGAAGGCTGTGCAAGTCACATGCAGGGAGGTGTGACTAGGGTTCATAAACAAAGGGATTTAACTCATAAATGGCAGAGGATTGAGCAGTGAGGCTGCAGGGGCATGTTCTATACACCAAAACTGCTTCATTAAGCTAAAGTTGTTCAGGTGACTATAGTGTCCCTTTAAATAAACACAATAAACCAGGACATGAAATATTAATGGATCGCTAATTTGATGATTATTGTTATTTTGTTGCTGCTATTAGTAGTTAGCCAATGGCTACAAAAGAACAAGAACAGAAAAATATTGTCTGTCCAAAAAAATAAATAAAAAAAGAGGGACTTTGTATATTACATGCATGCATTTAAGGGAGGCTATTGAAACCACTGTTTTGATTACTTCTTATGAAGCAATACATAATCAATTAAAATGTCAATAGCTATGAAGAGACTATAAATGGCTATAACGGGGGAATCCAAGATGGGGTTTATTCTCCCTGAAGACTGCTCAGGAGGTATTTAAAAGCAGTCAGAATGCTTATAGAAATAATGAATATGCTAGCAGTTTATGATACAAGCAAGGAATAGGTGATATCAACCTGAACAGAAAAGTTAATATTTTGCTTTTAAATGAAACAATGACTATGTGATATATTTGAGGTTTTTGTTTTGTAAGGATCAAAGTAAATCTAACAGTTAAAAGGCATAGCCACACCTGCTGAAGAAGTCGTATCCTCATGGCGCGGTCTGTAGAGGAGAACATTTTAACAATGACTGGAATTATCTTTTGTTGATATTCATCAGCATTAAGAAACTTCCCAATCTGAAAAGGAGTGTGATAAAGGAGTCAGTTATGTGTATGAAAGAGGTGTTCTAAAAAGGCAAAAACCGTGCCGCTCACACATCAAAATTATTCTAACCGTGCCGCTCACACATCAAAATTATTCTAACCGTGCCGCTCACACCTCAAAATTATTCTAACCGTGCCGCTCACACCTCAAAATTATTCTAACCGTGCCGCTCACACCTCAAAATTATTCTAACCGTGCCGCTCACACATCAAAATTATTCTAACCGTGCCGCTCACACATCAAAATTATTCTAACCGTGCCGCTCACACATCAAAATTATTCTAACCATGCCGCTCACACAACAAATTACAGCATTGCACAAACTTTAGGCAAATAAACAGTATTTTCTCAAGCAGAAAAATAAATAAAAAGTCCATGTCATTTACAACACACTCTCTAAGGTAAAATCTACATCTACTCACCCCTTAGCAGGCATAACAATGTGCTTTCTAGCAGACAGCAATAACTTCACGACAGGGTACTACTATCCATTGTGACTTATCAATTCTGCATGGGCATTGATTGCATAAATAGGAGTAGCAAACCTGTTTTAGAATACTTTATGATATCAGATGTGTCAAGGCCGTAGCCAGACCAAGAAATCACTGGTAATCTCTAGATAAGAATCAATGTTCAATTCTTTTGTTGGGCCAACTGATTATTTATAAAATAAATGATTTAATTAGAATCAGGTGTTAGAACCACTGTAGTTGTTATGGTACCAGGAGCCCCTGGTGCTGTCCCCCAAATGAGGGGCCAAATAGTTTGACACTTACCAAAGTGACAGAGTGACCATGCTGCCATATGACGGAAAGCATTCTCTCAAACTATGTCAAGTCTGAGCAGCTTTTCAGATTATTCACTGATCGAGCACATCAGATGACAGTCTTCACCAATAAAATGATGTAAAGCATTGCACAAAATTGACATCGCAAAAGAAGAATTAGAACTTCGGTTGTAGCTTCACCATGAAGACTAGGAACACTGCTGTTGCCCAGTGAAACTAAGATAGCTGTAAAAACATTTACAAACAATTTGACCCCTTACTGGGAAATCGCTCCAAGGGACTCCTGGCACCATAAAACAGGATGCCTGCAGTGGTTATTGTGCTTAGCATGATCTTTTAAGGAAGTATTGTATTACAGTTAAATTAAACATGTTCTGGTTAGATAATCTTGGCCACGCCATGAAGACATGGCAACGCAAGGTCCGACCCCTCACTTCTCATTTTTCTTGAGGGAAACATATTGCATACAGAAGAGTGATGATGAAGCAGCATATGGGCTGTTATAGCGCTGCTGAACCTACCTTAAATAAGGGAGTCAGGATAATTGCGCCAGCACTGCCAAATTCAAACGCTGTCAGCAGTTGGGGAAGGATTTTATGACGACAGAAATCCTCTGGGAATGTGTCCAAGTTTTCACTGAGCTGTCCAAAAAATGTCTGTCGCTCTGTGGGATCTTTTATCTATGAAAAGGAAAAAGGGCTTATTAAGATAAGAAATCAACGAAAAATGAAATGAAGAGGAGAATCAACAGGCAAGGAAGGCGGTCAGAGAAGGTGAGAATAAACAGACTGAAAAGAATACAGCAGCCTTCGTGTAAGTGGTTTATTTCTAAACAGAGAAATATGTCATCAACTGAATTCTAACTAAAAACTTATAAATGATTTTAGTAAAAACCATGAGTGTCAATTATAGAACAGTACAGTCAAATCATTAGAAAAAGTCACAATGATTTTGGCCCACTTCCACTGTCTCTGGCACAGAATGAGTACATTTTCATCAGTCAGGTTTAACTTGTCTTGTAACACACTAAGCAACTAATTAGATGTTTTCTATGCTATTAACATTCCATTTACTTGGTTCTAACTGTCTAATTGGTCAACGAAATGTTGACGACACGCTCTACTCATAGAGGAAACCTATTCGGGTCTGTTTTTAGTTACAGACTCAGTAAATCTGACCGGAGTTTGTGTCTTTAGCAAACTAAGAAAATTTTCATTTGTGACACATCTAATCCAAGGGGCACTCCAATGTCCAGCTAAGGTTTCTCAGCACAAACAACACAACCCCAAGGTGTCCGTGAAGGAGAGATATACCACTCTTAGCACAGTAAGCACTGAGACTCGCTGTGACACAGAGAAACCCTAAGAATAGGCACATAACTTTTTGCTCATTCTCACTCTGTTTGCTGTAATTTTCTGGAGCTCGCTGTACAGGGCGTTCACATTTAGGAGGCCTTGAATTAGTTTTGCTCATTTGTTTGCTTTTGGCACCTAGCTCATATTATATATTAATACACAAACACACTGACTCAGGAAGTCTCTCTTTCTTACAATCTGTTTTTATCTTCGTTGCATATTCTAAGTGTCCCTGTAAGTTTAAAAGAGGGGATCCAGATATCTAGACGAGTACTCCTTGTTCATTGTATCTAGAGCAGTGGTAGGCAACCTTTGGCACTCCAGATGTTTTGGACTACATCTCCCATAATGCTTTTACAGCCATAATGCTGACAAAGCATCAAGGGAGATGTAGTCCACATCTCCTGGGGTGCCGAAGGTTGCCCAACCCTGATCTAGAGCATTATCAGCCATGTATCACAGATGTACATAACGCATGACTGAGGCACAAACTGAAATGCTGCAAACTTGCTATTAACACTGCAGTATCTCAATAGACAATTGTACGTTCATTTCTTTAGATTGCATTTCTACTATGGATAGAGAAGGCCTGGGAGTTGAAGATTTCGGACACAAGAACAAAGGACAACATGAGAGTTTTACATATGGAGACCCAGGTGCTGTGAGCACAATTCAGGATTATTATGTCCCACTAATGGATAATACAGGTGAAAACAAGTGCTTTAGTTCACAGTATTTTGAGTAGAATTCCTTACTCAACATTTACATGTTGGACTGCCTTTGAGGATGGAATGAATCTACTAGACAAAAAAAAAAAAATTAAAGGACAATCCACACTTCTAAAGCTGAAGAGGTTTATGGAGTTTCCCATTATAATGACAGTTTATAAAAGCACCAATTTCTATGAGAAATCAGCACTTTTATAAATAATTACTGAAATAACCTGTCAAACAGCCAAAGGGGTTATTCCTGCTTCCGTTAGCTCTCCTGAGCTAACGGAAGTGTCAGGTGTGCTTAACTTGAACATCCCTGTCTCCCTCCTAACCTCAGATCAAAATGCTGTGAATGCGAAAACACCAGGTAATGGGGGCACGCATGGCAGTCGGGTGCAAAAGTAGGCGCATGTGGAGGGCCGGAGGGAGAGCCCTTTTAAGATATACCCCAAATCAATACACGCATGTATTGATTTGGAGTATATCTATTAAACTTTGTTTTGCCAATTTGAGCAGTGGAGTATCCCTTTAAAGGAATGTCAAACAAGAAAACTGAAAGTCATAAAATAAGAAAAGTTTAATTAGTGGAAGAATAGTGAAAAAATGGCTTAACATGGAACAACAATAAAAATAAAGAAATGAAGAATTAAAGATGGAGAGCATGTGATATAATGTAAGAGTATAGAAAACAGAACAGCAAAAAAGACATAGAACCAACTGAGCAAGTGGCAGAAATTATTCAGAAACAAAATTAGAGTATACAATGGTGAGGTCTGACCTGAATCTCTTCCAGGAAGAGATTGGTTTCCACAAAACTATTGCTGAGGAACCCTCCTGGGGAGCGGCAGTTCTGGAGGAAGCGTGCTGGATTGGGACGGGCTTTGGGGTTTGCTCCAACCAGCTCGCAGTAGTGAGGCACCAGTGTCTTGGGGATCTGATATATACAAAAGCAGGCAAATAAACCACAACATAACATCTTATCTGTAATGCATACATGCGCTACTATGACCTTTACACAAGTTATTCAATGTGTTTCACATCGACTGATAAAGTCCAACAAAAACTACAGATTGTGAAATATTGCTTTAAGGCTTAAAGGGTCACTCCAACCAAAAAACAGTGTTTTCATAAAGCACTGGTTTTGGTTACAGTAACCCTTTCTGTGGTGGCCCGCCCTCCCTCCCTCTCTGGTTTCCACTGGAGAGGCAAAATTCTTCCCTGATCTCGATCCTTCTTGGCTGACGTCACCATCCCTCACCGGAGGGAGGACAGGGAGGATGGACTGAGGGTAGGACATTAGCAGCATGGAAGGGAGGTCATGCCTCCATTGGCTGCCTGGCACCAACATGCTATGTGAGCTGGCATCATTATTAGCCAGTCCAGAATACGCCCAATGACCCTTCCATAGATGAAGTCACACCTCTGGAAGGGGACGGGTTAATCTCCGTACCTGTAGCATTTCAAAGTAAAACGCTGGACACACAGATTCCAGACACCATGACCACTTCAAATCACTGATTTGGTCATGGTGTTTGGAGTAATGCTTTAACAGAATTATAGGTTCTAATATTAAATTACAAGCTACTTCATTTTAAAAAACACTGAGCCACCAAGCTCACTATTACATGTATGTATTGCATACCTTTCCAAGGGATCGGAGAGCAGTGGGGCGTGGAAGAGGACCATTAAACACCTCCCAGATTAAGCAGCCAAGGCACCACATATCAGCTGACCTGTTACACAGAAATTGCTCATCAAACTACTCCCCTTACAACGGGAGTCAGTTATGCAATGCAAGGGTTAATTAAAGAAAACAAAGAAAGAGAAAGTACAAGAAGGTGCAAGCAATCTATACAAAGAGAGCTTAGTTGCCAAACAGTGAATTGGCAACTAAACTGGAAAATTTCAGACTAAAATAGCATATCTGTGACCATGGCTTAGCTAAACAATTTGTAAATGAATTATTTTGGCCTATATGTTGGCATTTGGTTTCAAATCAATGCAATTTATACTTCAGAGGTTAAATTCAATGAAGCAGTATCTCTCAATAAGAGAGATACTGAAGCAGAAACTTTAGAAGGTTAAAGTAACACACCACTTTTCCTTGGAACTCTTGGATCGCTCTGTCTTTTCTGGGGGGTCATATTTCTCCAGCTCGCTGATCTTTCTGGGGGCTGTTTCTTCTGCTCCAGCTGGGTACATATACTCAAGACCACCCAGCTTCCATTCCCCAGCACGGTCCACATACACAGCCGACATACAGACATTATTGTGAATTAGGTTACCATCATTCACCAAAAAACTGAGTGCTTTCTAAAGTGAAATAAATACATAATAGGGAAATTGGGTCATTCCTGCTATTTGTTACCGAATAAAGCAAAAACATTTAATATAACACATACGAATTTGACACTCTTACCACAATCTGATGAAGGCCCCATGAGATCTCCAACTCACTGACTCCCCCCGAATCAGTCCTAGACTTCATGTATGTTCCAAGCTGGGTCACTGGCTCAGTCACTATGTATACACATTTGTCAGTCTGAAATAGCAACGAAAGATGAGGGACTTTTTAGTTTTAAAAAAAAACCACACAAAATAACAGAGAATGAAAAACAAAGGTATATTCCTTAATGCTGTTCAGTAACCTGGATTAGGCAGTCATTTTTTTTTTTGTAATCACAACAGTCCTCACAGATTATTAGACCTGAAGGAGATACTCTCAACAGAGGGGAGAGACTGCTGCTGTCTGATGCTGTGACTTTATTTTAAATGGAAATCTATAGTCCCAAAAATAATATTTTTTTCGGGACAACTGGTTCTCATCTATCACTGTGCGCACTTGCCACTCTCCTTTGCTGATAAAAATTTAAGTTAAATAAAGTTTTATCACCGCATTTCAAGCGCAGAGACTTCTCCTTTGCAACTCCCGCTTCTTCTCAGAAGATGTCAGCATGCCTCAGTCTTATCCAATCTAAGCTTCGATGGATGAGATACCCATACGTGGCCAAATGTCACAGTTATCCAGTCAAATGCTGCTGTAAACAGATTTTTAATGCAGGGCCGAGTTTGACGCTGTTCTGGAGGAGGAAGCTACTCTAGTGGTTGTCAAGTAGACAGCCGCTAGAGGTGTACTTAACCCTTCAATGTTAAAATTGCCGTTTCTACAAAATGGCAATGTTTTACACTAGGGGATTAAAATGAAAGGACCACTGCCCCAGAGCTCTTTATTGAGATGAAGTGGTCTGGGTGACTTTAGTGGATCTTTAACGTATGTGTTTAAAATGCATTTCTTAATAAATTTATTTAATGACATTACACTATTGTGGCTGCCTTTTGTCCTTATGCAACTACCATCCACTTTCGAGTGGAATCGAATAAACTGAATTTATTTTGCGAAGTAATTTGGGAGGAGCTGTATCCAAGACATATCCGTTGGCCAGCTAACAATTGTATTCTACCCTATGAAATGTTTTCTTTCTTTCCTTTATTTGTAGTTTTTGCTCCCATATTTATAGAAAACTGGTTGAGGATTTGGAGAAGACGATGGAAGCATATCTCTAAGGCAGGGGTTTTCAATTTATTTTCTCATTGTTGAGGAATACATACTTTTGTTGTTGTTATAGCTTTAAAGAACCGTAACCAAAATAAGCAGTAGTGGGCATGGTGCTTGCAGTGTGCAAGTAAATCATAGATTGTTTTTGTAGAATATTCTGTTCCAGGATTTTTGATACAGGCTGTCTAGTAGCAAGATCAATTTAGGCAAAATACAGTGTGTGGGTTGAACAAATCACAGGAAAAAAAATGTGGTGCATATTTAAGCAGTACCAATTATCATGATCCAATAAAGCAGGTTAAAAGACATTATGACTAGATCTGTACTTTAAAGGGATTCTATAGTGTTAGGAATACAAATCTGAATTTCTAATGTTATAGTGCCCATTAGTCCCCACCCCCGGTTTCTCCCCTCCGGCACACAAAGGGTTAAAAAAAAAAAAAAAAACCTTAACGCGCCCGACTCCAGCGCTAATGTCCCTCTGCACTGGGTTGGCAATCCTCCTCCTCCGACGTCAATCAAAAGGGGGACCACAGAGAGCGCCTCAAGCACATTAGACCCTCCTCATAGGAAAGCATTGAATCAATGATTTTCTATAGGGTTTTCGCTGACGCTGGATGTCCTCATGCAGAGGATGACGTCCAGTGTTGTTTAAGGGTCTGCTAGCATTCTGGAAGGGACTCTAGTCAGTAAAGGAGGAGTGTATATTTAAAAGAAAAACTACCACAACAAGAAGACAGTCTTAAATTAGAGAGATAAAGGTTTAGCAATAATATCAGGAAGTATTACTTTATTGAGAAGGTAGTGGATGCATGGAATAGCCAGTTGAAAAGAGAGAGCAGGGAGAGTGTGTCAGGTTGCTCGTGAGAATGGGGGGTAACCCCTATACATAAATACAATAATAAGATAACTGAAGGGGAGACAGGGAGATGGTGAATTGTGCGCACCACTCAAGTCAAAAATTATTATAATCAAGTAAGTGGACTTATTTGATTATTAGAATTTTTCAAACATCCTTGTCTTGGGTATTTTAAAATAATTGATTACAAGTGATGGTTTTAAGCTTCTACTAAGGGTTGCTCTCCTTTTTCTCAGAGGGAAGACTTAGGAGGTACAGACAATTCACCATCTCCCTGTCTCCCCTTCAGTTCTCTTATTATTGTATGCATGGAATAGCCTTCCAGCTGAAGTGGTAGAGGTTAACACAGTAAAGGAGTTTAAGCATGCGTGGGAAAAGCATAAGGCTATCCTAACTATAAGATAAGGCCAGGGACTAATGAAAGTATATAGAAAATTGGGCAGACTAGATGGGCCGGATGGTTGTTATATGCCGTCAAATTCTATTTTTCTGTCTAAATGCAGTCTTAGCTGGCCACTGAAGGCAGTCTTAGCCATGCAAGGCAAATTTTTGCAGTTTCTCAAACTGGACAAAGTGGGATAGGGACCCTGCACCCAAACCACTTCAATGAGCTGAAGTGGTCTGGGTGCCTATAATGTCCTTTTAACCCTTTAAGGACCAAACTTCTGGAATAAAAGGGAATCATGACATGTCACACGTCATGTGCCCTTAAGGGGTTAAGCAGTTATGAAACATATGCACTACACCGAAATCTACGTTGAACAGTCGCCACAGTCAATCTACTGAACTGGCAACTAAACTGATAAGGTTTACTGGGTCCAGTACCTCCAATCCATCCACATATGATAAAATATTGGGGTGTCTCAGGGTCTTGATCCGTTTCAAAGCAGATCTGGCTGCTTGCGTCTGCTCTTCTGCACTTGGTTGTATCTCGTATGTGAACACAGACACTGCGTCTCCACCGACCTGTCTCGTGAACAGATACAAACTATTACCATAACCTTGTCATATATGCCAGCTTTTCCACCCCCCATGCAATAACAATACATATATCTTCAAGCAATTGTTGAGCATTCCATTGTAGTTATTCACTAAACTCCAGAATGTTGCGAATTAAAATGTGAGGCTAAATCAGCAAACCTGACTTATTTCTTTATTTTTAAAACTGACAGGCGTATTTATATTTCCAGATCTCCTATTTCTGTCTTAATTTTTTTCAATTCGGATTTTAATACCCCCCACCCCCCCAAAAAAACCTGAAATGTTCCCTGACTAACTGTTTATGGTAGTAAAGTGCAAATAGGTAAAGAGCTATATTAAATCACATAGTGATATCTGTTGTAACATGCAAAACACACTAATTATACAGCACAAATTAATATATTACTACACCCTGAAATAATTTTTAGTAACCATAGTAATAATATCCAGCCAGCCCATTATACAACAACCCCAAACTAGATAATAACAAATCACCCTGCAGCTACTGGCTGCCACCCTCCCCCAAACAAATACCCCTCAGTGATGCCATGGGTACCCTCACCTTCTTTTTTCCTTTCTGGATGCCCCATCCTCCCGGTAACTCCTCTCTCTCCCCAATAATATCATAGGGGAAATCACGGGCCGGGTCCCGGGACCAGAACCACATCCTGACACCGACTGGGGGGGGGGAGAGGGAGGATGGGACACGTCACCGTGACGTTCCCGGAATAGGGGCGTGGCTAGGTCGACACGTAACCCGCAGAGCTGTTTAGTTGGTGACGTGACGCCTATAGAGCTCTAAACACAGACCTCGCAGGGGGGTTTATTCTATACTGGTGGTTTATTACATGGCTGTGAATTTACTCTAGACTGTAGAGCTCTATCCCAGCAGGATCACATGACACCGGGTCACGTGACTGGGGAGGTGGTGCAGCTGTGTGATGTGGTATGAAAGCTTGTTGCTCAGATGAAGCTTGCACTAGTCCAGGGGGTTATGCACCCTCAGGCACTACTGATGTCGTGGACTACATCTTCCTTGATGCTTTGCCAGCATTATGGCTGTAAGAGCATTGTGGGAGGTGTAGTCTACAACTTCTGGAGTGCCCAAGGTTGCCTTCCCCTGCACTAGGCTTTCCTTGATCTATTATTGTTTTGTTTCACCATAGTTCACTAATCTCTGAATTGCAACATTTCTCTCTCTGCCATAGTTACATCTTGACTTTTATAGACTAGATTTGTCTGTTCAGATTTCACTTTGCTACAATTGGGGGTTAGTGAATACAATCTACTGGGTAATTACCTGATCTGGAAAATATATCACCAACACAGCTGTCACAGTTTGGCTAGTTTAAAGGACAACTGTCAACTCAAACAGCTGCGAGCTACCGCCGGTCTGCCTGCACTGGGGCCCAACACGCTGAGGGGGCCCATTGGGTGACCCATGCACATCGGGACACCCGATAATGTGTTCTCATGGGCACTGCCAGCGCCGCGGCTGTTTAATAGCGCAACTGGGCCCCTTTAAGTGACAGCCGGTCACTTCCCCCCAACTAACACTGTACCGCAGGGGAAGAGGCAGTGAGCAGGGGAGCACTGTCTGGGAGAGTCTCTGACTACCAACAGCCTCAGCCAGTAGATTGAACTCCAGGGATGCCACCCTCCTGCACCCTAAAGGTAGGAAACAGGACAAAATAATTGCACCAGTACCTTCTCTACTTTAGTTCTACCACTGACCTCAAACCTATATATAATATAGCATACAAAAAAATGGAGTTATGCGCAGCTGGTATTTAAAGTGCACACCCGGGTGCTACCATATTTATTGGAAGAACAAAATACAAGTTGCAAATGTTTTGGGCGATTGCCCTTTATCAATGCTAATGCTTGAATCAGTACTGAATCAGTGCAGGCAGATTTTCTGCCTCTACCGTTCACTACATAGTGATCACTATATGTAATTTAATAATAGTTTAATCAAGTTTTGAAAGGAAATACATATATTTTTTAAAGGAAGTGTGTTAAAAAAAGAGAGAGGGGGAAAACTCATCTCTACATTTAGTATTTGACGGGCATATACATTGATCAGCCACAACATGAATATCACCGGCCTAATATCGTGTAGGTAGACATTGTGCTGCCAAAAGAGCTCTGATGCATTGAGGCATGGACTTAAGAGGTGTATGTGGTCTGCAACAATCTCTAGGTAGTTGGTACGTGTCAAAGTAAAATTCACATGAATGCCAGGACCCAAGATGCAGAGGCATGTTCTATACACCAAAACTGCTTCATTAAGCTAAAGTTGTTCAGGTGACTATATATGCCAATACATGTATCTGTGTGTCAAGGTGTTTGTGTGTCTGTGTGTGTTGTAGGGGAGTGCGCGGTGTAGTAGCTTGTGAAGCCACCTCCCTGAAACGCATTTTTGCATGTTGGGATATCTGTAAAAAACTCCTGTCATGTTGTAAAATTGTAGATTATGCTAACGTAGTGAGTATTTTCCCTCCCTGGGATTCCCTCCCTTTTAAGGTTATTATATTTTAGTCGGCATGTGTTTTCTTTTATTTTGTCCAGTTACTATGAGTCTTACTGATCATATACATTGATTGTTTTTATTGTAATACAGGATTGATGTAATGTCTACTTTAACTTGTTAGTATGTAGTACATCTTATATCATGTCCTAAATTGTTTTGTATAACTATAAGTATACCGTTATAGAATTACTATAGATTAATGATGATATGTGGACATCAGTTTATTACCATCACCTTTCACTTGTTTCTGTTATTTTCAGTGTGATCTTCATCGACGGAAAGTACGTGTAGGAATACTTCACTATGCAGTTTTTCAAATTTTCGTTATGGTTCCTGTTGTTATTTTAGACTGTTAATTCACATCAAAGAAAGAGGAGGAGCTACGCCTGTCAGGGCTTTATGTGGAATGTATTACCTGTTTTTGATTGGTTTAGGTTTGTGTACTTTAAGATTATAGCATAATCTACAATTCTCACTGAGGTTTAATGGGGCTGCTCTGATCTTCCTGCCCTTCCAGCACTACTCCGACGTGCTTCCTTTAGTGATGCTGGGGCTGGAGTGATGTCATTTACCATCTCCAAGCATTACCGCATGGTGTCTGAGGGAGCTTTAATACCAGGACATCAAGATCAGAGCTCCACCTCACACTGTCTGGGTAGGCAGGAGCCTTCTCCGTATTAGCACATAGCTACTTTTAAGGTTGATTGGCTTTTGGGCCCCTGGGCAGGTAGAACATAGAGGGCCAGGTCACGCCCGTGACCTTTGCGTCTCCTGATGTTCCGCCACTGCACCTAGTAAAAAGGCATTTACCTAAAAGGACTTTTGGTAAAAGAAGAACATTTGTTTACTTCTAACTGGTTGATTTACTCCAAGCTCTGTTTTTTTAAGATAAGCCACGTGGGGATTCCAATACAGCTTCAGTTTTAAAGGAACACTGTAGTCACCTAAATTACTTTAGCTAAATAAAGCAGTTTTAGTGTATAGATCATTCCCCTGCCATTTCACTTCTTAATTCACTGCCATTTAGGAGTTAAATCACTTTGTTTCTATTTATGCAGCCCTACCCACACCTCCCCTGGCTATGATTGACAAAAAAAAACTGGTTTCACTTTCAAACAGATGTAATTTACATTAAAGGACCACTATAGTGCCAGGAAAACATACTCGTTTTCCTGGCACTATAGTGCCCTGAGGGTGCCCCCACCCTCAGGGTCCCCCTCCCGCCCGGCTCTGGGGAGAGGAAAGGTGTTAAAACTTACCTTTTTCCAGCGCCGGGCAGGGAGCTCTCCTCCTCCGATCCTCCTCTTCTCCTCCCATTTGGCTGAATGCGCACGCGCGGCAAGAGCTGAGCGCGCATTCAGCTGGTCTCATAGGAAAGCATTTACAATGCTTTCCTATGGACGCTTGCGTGCTCTCACTGTGATTTTCACAGTGAGAAGCACGCAAGCGCCTCTAGCGGCTGTCAATGAGACTGCCACTAGAGGAATTGGAGGAAGGATTAACCCATTTACAAACATAGCAGTTTCTCTGAAACTGCTATGTTTATAAAAAAAAAAATGGGTTAACCCTAGCTGGACCTGGCACCCAGACCACTTCATTAAGCTGAAGTGGTCTGGGTGCCTAGAGTGGTCCTTTAAATAATTGTATCTCAATCTCTAAATTGAACTTTAATCACATCCAGGAGGCTCTTGCAGGGTCTAGCAAGCTATTAACATAGCAGGGGATAAGAAAATCTTAATTAAACAGAACTTGCAATAAAGAAAGCCTAAATAGGGCTCTCTTTACAGGAAGTGTTTATGGAAGGCTGTGCAAGTCACATGCAGGGAGGTGTGACTAGGGTTCATAAAACAAAGGAATTTAACTCCTAAATGGCACAGGATAAAGCAGTGAGGCTGCAGAGGCATGTTCTATACACCAAAACTGCTTCATTAAGCTAAAGTTGTTCAGGTGACTATAGTGTCCCTTTAAATAAACACAATAAACCAGGACATGAAATATTAATGGATCGCTAATTTGATGATTATTGTTATTTTGTTGCTGCTATTAGTAGTTAGCCAATGGCTACAAAAGAACAAGATCAGAAAAATATTGTCTGTCCAAAAAAATAAATAAAAAAAGAGGGACTTTGTATTTTACAGGCATGCTTTTAAGCAGGGAGGTGTGACTAGGGTTCATAAACAAAGGGATTTAACTCCTAAATGGCAGAGGATTGAGCAGTGAGGCTGCAGGGGCATGTTCTATACACCAAAACTGCTTCATTAAGCTAAAGTTGTTCAGGTGACTATAGTGTCCCTTTAAGCTATTTTTCTGCATTTATCCTTCAAAGTACTGTGTTCACTTTTTCACCATTGAGCATCCAGTTATGTTGCCACTTTACTATATTTTCAGTTGTGTTGCTTTATTGTGTGTTGTGGTACCTATAAGATTGGTTCAGCATTTCACAGCTTAGTTCATCCACTCCCTTTTTTTTTTTTATGTACCATGTTTCACTGGTGCTTTTCTACTTATTTGTTAAAGATAGTGATAAGTAAACATAATATTAGAATCCTGGAACAAGTCAGGTCAACCCAACCCAACCGGATCTGCACCATCTGGCTCGATGCATTCGGTCTCGACTATAGAATCAGTGTTTTTCGTATCTGAATCCGATATAAACTATAAAATTCTGACATTTACAAAGAATGAATTTCAAAGAAAATTAGGAAATTATGCATCTGGTATCTTTCAGATTTGCTAAATATCATTCACTTCTTGCTTTATGCAAAGCGAGATATGATTGTCAGGACTATTTGCCCACTGGAAGCACTAACAACCAGTGGTGAAATAGTTTAAAACTCTAAGTGTTAAACTCTATGGTTACATTCCATTGCTTGCTAGCCAGCCACCAAAGTAAAAAGTGAAATTAATTTTTAAAAAAGCCCGTGGGGGACCAATGTTACCTCTATATTACTATAAACACCTCCCTTAAGCCCCCTCTAAAGCAAACTCAGTTGGAATAGGCTTGAGTAAGGTATAATATGTGTGTTTGTGTGTGGGGAGCAACTTGTTGGTGAGGGACAAAGAGGAATAAATATGGAATGAGAGAGTGGGGGAGAGTAACAAGAGGGGAATTGCAATTTTTGCATAAAGCCTCACAGCATGGCAAAATCATATGGATTTTTACACTGTTTTTCAAAATATAGCTGATTATATAATCCAAAT